CATGTTAAGGTTTGGGAGTATATCCTGAGAGCAATGGGGAATCCTGAGTTGTATAGCTTAGATGGGGGAGATCCTGACATGATCAGATTTATTTTGGGAGGTAAGTCTAGCGGAAGGAAAAAACATAAAGGTATTTTAAGAAATAAAATTTGAAGAGCATTCTTAGAGGTTTGGGTAAAGAGAGGGTTTTTTTTTTTTGGTTTGTTTTGGGTCACACCCAGCGATGCAGAGATGTTACTCCTGGCTCATGCACTTAGGACTTACTCCTGGCGGTGCTCAGGGGATCATATGGGATGCTGGGAATCGAACCTGGGTCAGTCGTGTGCAAGGCAAACACCCTACCCGCTGGGCTATCACTCCAGCTCCAAGAGAGGGACTTTTGGTTTGAGTAATGAAGATGATGATGAAGCCTTAAACTGGAACAGAAAAAGTTTCTGGTGTAAGCAATGAGGAATGTCATTCTGAACAAAGTATCTGTGAGATATCTAAATAAAGACATCCCACTGACAACTAGGTATTTGCTTCTGGAATTCTAAGAAGCAGTCTAGCTCGGGATGCAGATTTTGGCACAATTGTAGATTTTTATCTATAAAATGAAAAAGTGTAATACTAGTTAGGACTTGGCACCTAACCATCAGGTCAGGGTACTTAGGTTCAAGTATCACTAGGAGTAGCCTCTAGACTAGAGACTACTGAGACTTCCACACCACAGAGAAAACTAAACAAAACAGGAGCACTGGAGAAGAGAAGTTTGCCTAGGCAAGTGTATAGAATGCGGAGAAAGCCTAGAACAGATTCTAATGTTAGGACTACCAAGAAAATAATTTTTTGAATTTTAAAAGAGACTAGATCCAGGTTCAATCTCTGGCATCCCACATGGGCCTGAGACCACCAGGAGTGATCCCTAAATGCACAGCCAGGAGTAAATCCTGAGCTCCTCCAGGATTTATAACTCACAAAAGAGGTCAGAAAGATATGGGGTTAGGGTGCTTACCTTGCACACAGCTGACCTGGGTTGTACCCCCACACCACATGGTACCCCAAGCACTGGGTACAAACCTGGAATCTTTTGACACTGTAGCCAAGAATCAGCAGAAGGGACCACCATATCTAAGCACTACTTAAGAGAGCCCCACACCCCTCCATCCCACCAAAAAGAAAAAAAATCACAGTAAAAAAAATCTCAGGAGAATGTATCATCAGAAAAAAACAAAGCAAGGGAATAAAATGATTTAACCAAGAAAAAAAGCAGAGCTTAAGGATGTCTCAGCACATGTCTTATATGTGTGGGGTTCTGGGGCTTGATGAGAGAGAAAGAAACTGAAGGAATTCAGCTACTGACTTTTTCAAGGGGACCTGTCCAGCACCTTGAATAATTCTCTAAACTGGTGTCCTCAAAGCTGATTGAACATGAAATAGACCAAGGAACAAGCAAAGGAGCAAGATAATGGACCATGGTTTTAAAAAATGTTTGTTGGAATCCAACTCCACTCATCAGCTAAACATGTGGATTATGGATAGCAATAGGCTTCCCAAGTGGTTACTGCCCTGAGAATTTAAGTAGGTCAATCAGGAACAGAAAAGAATCTTCTAAAAGACTCATCAAATCAAGATTTTAAATAATATGGCCTTACAGTGGGGTTGGACAGATCAGGAAATAAATATCCAACCTGCTGCTGCTTATAAGAGACACACCTGAACATTCATAATAAACACAAGCTCTGACTAAAAGGTTGGAAAACAGTCATACAAGCAAATAAGTGGCAAAGCGGAGGGGTGGGGAGGGGGAGATGGGCAGGGAAAGCACAGATAGCCATACTTTTATCAGATCAAAAGGCCTTTAAATAAGATATAGGGATGGACATTACTGATTGAGGGATCTATATATCCAAAGTACTGGAATATATAAAAAATTTCAGAGTATTGAAATTTTATTAGCACAAATGCACCAAATGAAAGGGCAGCAAAGTTTATAAAGCAACTACTAACAGACCTGAGGAGGTACATCAACAGCACAATAGTGGAGACTAACAGCCCACTCTCATTGAACAGATCAACCAGACAGAAAATCAGTAAGGAAATAAAAATCTTTAAAAGAGGAAATGGAATTCATATAAATATATAAGGCTCTCCATACATCCCAAAACTAAATATTCATTCTTGAACAGTACTGCCAGAAGTAATTCCTAGTGCTGAGTCAGGAATAACCCCTAAGCATCGCCAGGTATGATCCAAAAAAAAAAAAAAAAAACTGATCCAAAAAGAGACAATTAAAAATTAATATCCCTGATGAACATAGATGCAAAGATCCTCCATAAAAATCTTAGCAAACCAAATTCTAAAATATCTATCAAAAGGATAATACATAACGGTCAGGTGAAATTCATTTCAGAGATACAAGAATGATTCAATATGCACAAATCAATTAATGCAAGAACAAACAACAAAATTATTTTTCTAAACAAAGGAAAAATACAAGTATATGATAGTATCAATAATTGATGAACAGAAATCTTATTTTTTAGGGATATCTGGTTGTGATCAAGAGTTACTCCTAGTTATTGCTTAGAGTTGCTCCTGGCAGTGCTCAGGGGAGCACTATGTGGTATCAGGGACTGGACCCAGATCTCATGCATGCTCCGGCCCTTTGAGCTATCTCTGCAGCTGCAGAGGAAGCTTTTGACATGTTTTAACACCCATTTATGATAAAAACTCAACAAAGTAGAAATATAAGGAACTTACATCAATATAGTAAAGGCCATACACAACACACCCATAGCTAACACCATACTCAAGTAAAAATTGAAAGTCTTTCCATTAAGATGGGGCATGAGGCAGGAATGTCTACTTTCACCACTATTATTCAACATAGTATTGGAAGTCCTAGTCATGGCATCCTGTCAAGAAAAATAAATCAGGGGCTGTAGAGATGGCACAAGAACTAAGGAAGGCCCTTGCCTTGCATGCAGTGACCCAAGCTGGATCACAGGCACTGCATATGGTCCCTTGAACCCTGCCAAGAGTGAGCCCTGAGCCCTGCTTGAATGTAGCCCAAAACCAAAATAATATAAAATCAAATTAAAGGCATTCGAACGGGAACAGAAGTTAAAACTATCACTATTAGCAGGTGATGTAATAATATATATAGAAGACTCTAACGACTCCATTGAAAAACTTCTAGAAATAATAAACCAGCACTGTGAAGTAGGCTACAAAAATAACACAAAAATCTGTTGCATTTCTATATACATTGAACTAGAAGAGAAAGAAATTTTACAAGCATTTACTATTATGTTCCAAACATCAAGAACCTAAAACTCAACAAAGAATGTGAAACACTGACAACTCTAAGTCAGAATTAAAAGAAATTGAAGAGTATGCAAGGAAAAGAAAACCTATCCTTCATTCTTGGATTAGAAAAGGTAACTTTGTTTAAATGACCATAGGGCAGGAGATGGTGCAGAGGACAGGGCATTTGCCTCACAAGCTACATTCCCCCAGCAGCCCATGTGGTCCCCTGGGCCAGACAGGAGTGATCCCAGAGCACAGAGCCAGGAGTAAACCCCGAGCACTACCAGGGGTGCCTCAAAAACAAAACAAACAAAATATGACCACACTATCCAAATCTTAGATAAATTTAGTGCAATTCCAGTGGAAATTCCAGTGGCGTTTCTTCATGGACATAGAACAAACACTTGCTAAAACGTGTCTGAAGCCACGAAACTCCCTGAATAGCCAAAGCACTACTGTGGGGGTTTGGGGAGGAGAGGTGAGGCATAAAGTGCCCCCCCTTTATCCAAAGCTATAAAGGGACGCTGCCCCAACAGAATGCGGGGGGGGGGAATAGCAGCCCCCCACTTCATCAGCTCCCAGACACAGCACCGAGGGCCCAGTTAAAAACAGCACCGAGGAGATGGGAGCACTGAGGGGAACACGGGAAGTCTTCAACAAATGCTCTTTTTTTAAAAATTTTTTTTTTTGGCTTTTTGGGTCACACCTGGCGATGCACAGGGGTTACTCCTGGCTCTTCACTCAGGAATTATCCCTGGCGGTGCTCAGGGGACCATATGGGATGCTGGGAATCGAACCCGGGCTGGCCGCGTGCAAGGCAAACGCCCTACCCACTGTGCTATTGCTCCAGCCCCTCAACAAATGCTCTTGGGGCCACACGGGGGTGGGGGTGGGGGTGAGAATGCCTGGAAGAGGGAGAGAGAAAGGAGAAAAGAGGGCGCGAGGAAGAGAGGGATGGAGCGAAGACCCCTTGGCTCTCCCCATCTCTCCCTCTGCTCTTCTCCTCCACTCCTTCCTCCCCCCTTCAATCCCCCTCAGCCTCCAAGTCCAGCTCGTCCCTCCGCTCTCCACCAGGCAACGACGGGGTCCGAGGCGCCGCCCAGGCGCGCCGCAGTCACTCCACACACGCCAGCCGCAGGCGACCCCCCGCGTGTGGTTCCGTCCCCGCCGCACGGTCCCTGCACCCGCGTCGCACGCCCCCGTCCAAGGGCACGTCCCGAGGCTCGCGCCACACCGGATCTTTTCACTCTCCTCCCCGGGGGCGCCCCACCCGGGACCTCGTCGCCCGGCTTTACCCCTCATCTTGACCGACTGGAGGGCAGGGACCACCCCCTGGGTTTTCACAAAGGTCCTTCCCCCTCTGAACCGTGACGAGGCACTTCCGAGCGCACGAACGACCTGAGCTCAAGAGACAAATTCTTCTCGACGGTTCTAAGGCAGCCCCGACTCCGGGGGGCTTCGCCCTTGGCCTCGACTAATTAAGCCCGAGAGGCTGGGGTGGGGGCGGGGGGGGCTGCTCCGTCACCGACGGACGCGGGGCTGCGTAACGCTCGCCGCGAGACAGGCGGGCAGGCGACGGGGCGGGGCGTGCGCGGGCGAAGGCGGGGCCCCCGCGAAGAGGAAGCGACGCGCGCCCGCACGCTCGGCAGTCTCCGGTCGCCCTCGACGATTTCCGGTCTCGGGCTCCGCCTCCACCGAGCCGCCTCGTGTCTTTCCGGCCGCGCTCGGGTTTTTCCGTCCGACTCCCGCGCGGCGCGCTCCCCCAGGCTTCGGGCATTTCCGAGTCCCGTTCGGGAGTCTTCGGCCATCGCTCGGCCTCCCCCATCCCCCGGTAACGGTCGCTGGTGAGTTTAAATGAGCCGGGGCTGGCCGGGCCGAAGCCGCTACGGGGGGGGCCTGAGGCACTGCAGAAAGTGGGCCTGAGCCTCCAGGATGACGGTGCTGCAGGAACCCGTGCAGGTAACGCTCGCTGCCGGCTCCGAGGCGCGGCTCGCGGCGCCGCTCGGGAAGCTGCGGGACGGCCACTCCGCGGCCTGCTGCGGCCTAGGCCCGGCCGCTTCTCCCGCCTGCCCCGGGCCGGCCCGGGCCTCGCGTCTCGGCGGCCCCGACGCCCCGCCCGCGTCCCGAGCAGTGCGGCCTCCGCCCGCGGTCCCTCCTGCCCCGGGTGGGCGCGGGGTCGGGCGGCTAAATCGCGCCTTTGCGCGCCGAGCCCGCGTCCGGCCCGCCCCTCCGGCCAGCTCCGGGCCGGCGCCGGAGGTTTGGGGTGCTGGGGCGGCGGGGTGGGGGGCGCCCCGGACGAGGGGCCGGAGCCGAAGGGGGCGTCGCGGAGCCTCCCGGGAGCCTGGGGGAGCGGCGGGGCGGCGCCGCCGCGGGTGTGCGGGGCGCGGGGCTGGGTTGGTTTCTCGCGGGACGTGCGGGCTGGAGGGAGGCTGGGTTCGGCATTTCAAGACGAATTTCCCTGTGAGCGCCCCCACCCCCAACCCCCGGACCCCCACCCCGGGTCGCCGGCCGAGTCCCTGCTCGGACCCTTGGGTCCGAGAGGCCCGGCCCTGCGGGGCGAGCCCCGGGGAAAGGCCGGCAGCGGGGCCGCCGCAGCGCCGGGGCTGGGGCTCGCGGGGGGCCGAGTGCGCGTCCCAGGGGGGATGAAGGAGACCCCTCGGGGCCGGGCAGCCGCGCCGAGCCTGCGGGTCCTTCCGTCCTTCGGGGCTGGCCCGCGTTCCGCCCCTCCCGGGGTCGTGGACGCGGCCTCGGGAAGTCGCCCTGGGTCCCCTGCTGTCATCGGGATCGGGGCTTGGATGCGGCCGGCCGCGGCAGCCGGTGGACGTTCCCGCATCGCTGCCCCCTCCGCGCGCCTCTGATTTTATTTTGTTTTATTTTTTTACCCCCTTTGCAGGGGACGGGGCGCGTCACTGCTCCAGGGTCGGCTTCTCTGGCTCCTTCTAGCCTCAGAGCGGCTGTCAGCGTTTGAATGAATGCGCCATGGGGTTCCATCTTGCGGGCTGCACCCGAGCCCACAGCCCTTGCCTGCCGGCTCCCTCCCTGGCCCCCAGTCCAAGAGACCCTTCTGAGGGTTGCTTTGCTTTGCTTTGCTTTGCTTTTTTTTATTTCGGAACTCGCAGGAAGTTGGAACTTGTGAAATGGAAGGGCAGATCACACAGGTTGTTTGATTTCTGTTTCAGATTCTTGTAAATTTCCTCCCCCCCCCCCCTTGACGATACATTTGCCTTCCTTCGCCCCAGACGACTTCTAACAGGAAAAAGATATGAGACTCGTTTCATTGATACCATGTAACTACTTTTTAATAATTATTCCGACTTGTTTAAAATAAAAGCATGGAAAAGGGAAAAAAAGGCACCTTATTCCTAGCAAACTCTTTTCTCCTTAAAATACTCTTTAATAATAATTTTAGGCATTTCAAGGCTTTTTAAAAATTGTTCCCCCTCCTCCCCCCACACACACACACCTCCCTGCTTCTGTTCTACCTTTGTGACAAAAAGTTTTAAGCTATGGCTAAGTGAGAGTTTTGATTGTAATGAGAAACTGTTCAAGAAGGAATCCGGAGCCAGGTGGAAGAGTAAGTCACTAAGATGTAAATACCAAGTGAAATGGGACAGTGCATAAAAAAGTAAAGATGAAAATAGAACAGATCATAAGATACTGTTTTTTTTTAATTTATGTTGAATTATTTAATCTATTTGGACAGAAATGAGAAAGTCAGAAAGTTTTTTTTTTCCTTGGTATTCTTCAGTGTTCATGGCATTACTAGGCACGGGAAGTCATTGAGAGGAAATAGGAGCAACCATGTTGTCACTATTATTATTATTATTATCATCATCATCATTATTTCGGTTTTGGAACCACAGTGATGCTCAGGGGGCTATGTAATGCTGGCAGTGGACCCCTGGGCCTCTTGCATGCAGAGCATGGGCTCCTGCCCTTTGAAGTATCTCCCCACCTCTTGAGCATTTTGGTGTGAATAACCAGTTTTTTCATGCTGCTAAGTATGAGCAACTCTTCCAACTGTCTTTCATCAAAAAGTATTCATTTATATTTGTCTTAACAACAAAATAAAACCAAGACTCTGCTTTTATGAAGCAGAAGTTTTATCAGTTCATTTTAATGTGATTGATAGAGACACACTAGCTTAAAATATTTTAGTCAATGCTATTTGGGGTAGTTGTAAAATCCTGATGAAATTTATATTTGTCTTAACAAAATAAAACCAAGACTCTGCTTTCATGAAGCAGAAGTTCTATCAGTTCATTTTAATGTGATTGATACAAACTAGCTTAAAATATTTTAGTCAGTGCTATTTGGGGCACTTGTAAAATCCTGATGAAATTAGGGGCTAGAGAGATAATACAGTGGGTAAGGCACTTGCCTTGTACGCAGCTGACCCGGGTTCAATTCCTTGCACCCCAATGGTCCCAGAGCCCCACCAGGAGTGATTCCTGAGCTCAGAGACAGAAGTAAGCCCTGAGCATCACCAGGTGTGGCATTAAAACAAAACAAAACAAAAAATTCTGATGAAATTAGTTTTAAGGGTCAGAGGGAGAATATAGGATAATATAGATAAGGTACTTGCTCACCTTGCAGTGCAGTCAACCCTGGTTCAGTGACTGGCAAGAACTGCCTGGGGGTCTCTCCTGAACACAAAGCCAGACATAGGCACTAGACACCACATGGTGTGAGCCCGCAAACCAAAAAATATATATATTATGTATATATAATATATATTTACAAGCAAGGGTATTTTTATTGATATATCATATATCACAGAGGGTAGGACTTTATTAGAAGTGCTGAAATTGAAAATAAGCCTGTAAAAATTGCCTTATGAAGCAGAATAGTAAGTAGGTTCTGTACATAATACTTTAGAGATTATTAAATAGTTAATACATACTTTGTCTAGGATAAGATGTACAGGGGTAGTATGGATTCAAAGACTTTCTGGGACTAGGCATATAGTTCATGTGAGGTCCTGGGTTCCGATTCTGCCTCCGTACTCAGGAATTACCCCTGGTGGTGCTCGGGGGAACAGATGAAATGTTAGGGATAAAACTCAAGTAGGCTGCTTTTGCAAACAAGTACCCTACCTGCTGCACTGTCTCTTCAGTCCCCCAAACAACTTTTTTTGATCCAAATAATTTTGAATTAAGATAACTTAGAATTCAGGAAAGTCTTGTTAGATACCTCCTTCCCCCTCCAAATATGAAGAGACATTTTGATTTTGAAGGTAATATTTGAATTATTTCAGTTAAATTGTTCTGTGCAATGATAGAAAGAAATTAAAGTCTAAATATATTTTGTGACTTTAAAAACATGTAGCACTGTTCTCCCGTTCATCGATTTGCTCAAGTGGGCACCAGTAACATCTCACAACAAATTGTGAGACTTCTTGTTACTGTGTTTGGCGTATCAAATATGCCATGGGTAGCTTGTCAGGCTCTGCTGTGTGGGCGAGATACTCTCGGTAGCTTGCCAGGCTCTCTGGGCTCTCCGAGAGGGGCGGAGGGATAGAACCCGGGTCCGCTGTGTGCAAGGCGAACGCCCTACCCGGTGTACTATTGCTCCAGCCTATAACAGTATGTAAATTGATAAATCAGTATTGAACTATTTGGTCTTTATTTTAAAACTTACGTATTTGACCTAGGAGTTCAATTGGTAGGACCACCAGGTATGGTCCTGGAAGACCCCAGGCATTGCTGGCTGTGACCCTAACAGTAATATGTGTGTATGTACATGCACAGGCACGTGTATGATATATATTCGAATTAGTTGAAACATTTGCTTAGGAGATTTTATTTTATTAAAACAGATTGCCTGTATTTAGGGTTTATTTTGTATTGTGGTACATTATAGTATCATGAATGTAAGTAAGTAAAAGTAAGTAAAGGCCCTCCCATTGATCATAGATTTGCTCGAGCGGGCCCAGTAACATCTCCATTGGAGACTTTGTTGTTACTGTGTCTGGCATATTGAATACTCTCGGTAGCCGGGCTCTCCGAGAGGGGCGGAGGACTCGAACTTGGGTCGGCCATGTTGGCCGCTTGTAAGGCGAACACCCTACCGCTGTGCTATAGCTCCAGCCCCTTCATGAATGTAGTGCTACTAATACCTCAACTGAAAAAAAAAATAGGCTTTAGGAAATAGAGGTGAATGAGGAAGTCATTGCAAATATGTATTTCCTTTATGAACTAGTGTCCTGATGCAGCTCATGTGTTTATTACCTAAAGAGAGAAAGCATTAGAACATGACAGCGTAGTATTTACACACTGCGTGTCCACTTGAGGCGGGGCTGTATGAGAGAGACCTAAAAGGAACTTGATAGGCCCTGGTTTATGCTTCAGCAGGAGCAGCATCAAAAGACTAAAAATTTAAGATGTAACCTAAATGAAAAGGAAGTCACACTCCTGAGTCAAGCTGAGAGCCCTGTAAAAGACATGCTAAAACTTTTGAAAATTATGAGGGGATTGGACAAATAGTATTATCATTTGTCTTACACATAGTCCACCTGGCATTGATCCCCAGCACCACATGTGATCCCTGAGCACTGAGTCAGGAATAAGCTGTGAGCATGCTGAGAGTGCCCCACCCCACCCCCCAAATAAGAGAGAATTTCATTTCTGGGGTGGGTAAGATAGAACCAGTTCTATCCCTGGCACAGCATAATGGTGCCACAGGCACCATCTGGGGTCACTCCTGAACACAGAACCAAGAATAACCCCTGAGCACCACTAGGTATTCCCAAACCACCTCTTCCCAAAAATCATTTTGAACAAATGAGTCGGAAATCCTTGTGAAAGCAGTTGCAAGGGCTTAGTAGCTAATATTTTGTGAGGTCCAGTCTTGGTGAGAAGATGAATGTTTAGCAGTAATCTTTGGATAATGTTATAAATTGGTGCATTTGATTGCACAGCTAAAACTTTAGAAAAGAGAGCTCAGTGTAGATGGAGAAT